AAAAAAAAAAAAAAGTCTAAACAACTGAGCCTGGTGCCTATAGCTCAGCGGCTAGGGCACCGGCCTCATACACCAAGGCTGGCAGGTCCCAACCCAGCCCGGGCCAGCTAAGCAGCATTGATAACTATAACAAAAAAATAGCTGGGCATTGTAGTAGGTGCCTATAGTCCCAGCTACTTGGGAGGCTGTGGCAAGAGACTCCCTTAAGTCTAAGAGTTTGAGGTTGCTGTGAGCTGTGATACCACAGCACTCTACCTAGGTTGACATAGTGAGACTCTGTCTCAAATAAATAAATAAATACAATCTAAGCAGCTCACATCAGCATATCCAGATGTCACAGGTCCCTGTGTGGGAAGCACTCGGTGGACAGGAAAGCCCTCAGCTGTTAGTGTTGTCTCCTAGCAGAGGTGTATTGGGGGTGCACTGGGTGGGCCCTGTGAGAAAAGACGGACAGAAAGGTTAAGGCAGGACAGCATGGTGGCTCACGCCTGTAATCCTAGCACTGTGGGAGGTCAAGGCAGGTGGATTGCTTGAGCTCAGGAGTTTGAGACCAGCCCGAGCAAAATCAAGACCCCATCTCTACTAAAAATAGAAAAACTGAGGCAAGAGGATCGCTTGAACCCAAGAGTTGGAGGTTGCTGTGAGCTATGACGTCACAGCACTCTACCCAGGGAGACAACTTGAGACTCTGTCTCAAAAAAAAAGAAAAAAGGTTAAGGCAGAGGTGAATATGATCCCTCCTTTCTGACTGAAGCAGTGAAGCTTCTCATGGAAGAGCAGCGCCCATCTATTTCTCTGAGCATCCACTGTTTGATCATCTAACAGGCCTTCACTGAGTGCTGATAATGCCAAGCTCTGTGCTAAGCACAGTTGGGGGTGGGAGTTGTGATACCAATCTGGGAGGAGCTGGGAGGGGCTGAAAGGGAACAGTCAGGGGCCAGCGTGGCCTGGGTCTGGAGGTCTCTCCAGAGTGCAGAGGGCCCAGTGAGAACACGCCGTGTCTGGGGGAGCCTCCAGAGAAGGGGACAGCTGAGTACTTAGGAAGGGTGAGTCTTCCAGCGTCCCAAGGAAGGAAGGGGAATTCTAGGCAGGGGACACAGGTGTGCAAAGCTACAAAGGACAAAAGAGCAGTGTGTAAGACGCACACTCATACACGCACAAAGCTAAACAGCAGGGCAGACTGTCTTGGGGGGCCCTGCCAGCCTGTGTGCATGGGTGCAGCTGTGGACAGGGGGTGGGCCAGGTGCAGAAGTACTTACAAGGAGGGCTGTGCCTCCTGTGCCCCTGGGGCCCTCAAACAGCCTGCTGGAGTCCCTCATTGGAGTCCCTGAGGCCCAGCCCCCTTCCTCTTTGCCTGTCACCCTAGGTCTTCTGCTGAAACGTCCTCCTCCTGCAGTCCTCTCCCTTATCTCAGACCCCAGAGTCTGTCCTCTCAGGGCTTTTCCATTGCTGGCTTTCCTGTCTGGGTCAGCAGGAAGGGTTGAGGGGAGGCAGTCTAACTTCAAGCCTCAGTTTCCTTATCCACATGAGACGTTGCATCAAGTGATCCTGAAGGTCTGTGGGGCCCTCTTGGACTTCCAGGGGTTGTCCAGGCCCTATCTGGATATTTTCCAGGGAGCCTTGGAAACCTCTCAGACACTGCCTGGGTCTCTGCTGGCAGAGGGGTGGGGACAGAGCCCATAGTGGAAGGAGGGCTGGGGAGAGAGCCTATGGTGGAGGTGATGGGGCACCCACATCCGTGCCGAGAGGATGGGCCCTGCTCACTCTGCTGCTGCCTGTGCTTCTCCCCCAGTTTGACCCTGGGAATACAGGCTACATCAGCACAGGCAAGTTCCGGAGCCTCCTGGAGAGCCACAGTTCCAATCTGGACCCGCACAAAAGGGAGGTGCTCCTGGCTCTTGCTGACAGCCATGCAGACGGGCAGATCTGCTACCAGGATTTTGTCAACCTGGTGAGTGCTCGGGGTTGTGGCTGAGACACTTAACGCTAACGGGGGTGTAGATAATGAAAGGGGTCTGTCGGACTGCAGCATTGAACAGATTCAGGCTTCAGCAGGTGAGAGGATACTTTTTTTTTTTT